TCTTCACAGTCTCATATTGGTTTTAAAGTCATCATTGAGCAGATCTGTTGGTGATCACCATATGGGTGATTTTCTTTTTTTAAAAAAGGAGAACAGTATTTGCAGGTCTTAGCATTTTTTAAAAGCCGTTTTGTTCTTTAGCTTTAGAGAGACCTCGGTGGTTAGTTGTATTAAGGGTTTGAAGAGCATCTCCACATAGTAGTCTGGAGGAATCTGATCTCAACCAATCCAGGAGGTCCTTTTTCCTACATAAATGTGCATCCTGTTGTACGTTTTTGGGTCATTGCATCCAGTGCTGGGTAGAACAGGCAGCAGTGATAGCTGGGTGCCATCTGGTGCTTTTGGTCTCAGAGAGATGTGGCTGTGGTTGGTGCACACTGTCCTGTAGACTGGCTTCTCCTCATAAGTCTATTTCCTTCTTTCCGTTTGGTTCTGCCACTCGCAGCCTCCTTGGCACTCATTGGTTGGCAGAGTGGAGTCTAATAGTTGAATCTAAAATGGCCATTCTCAAGCTTCTTAAGACCTCAGGCTAGGGTGCAGAATGTAACTTTATAAACTGTATTATGCCTGTTGACCAAGATGTGCCGCACAAAACTGTGATATTAATCTTTTAACCAGAAATCTAGTCTTGGATGGAGTTTGATTATGTCTGAGAAGTGACCCACTGTGCCTTTGTGTGTGTGTGTGTGTGTGTGTGTGTATGTGTATGAGTATATGTGCATCCAGTTACATATATAAATATAAGGAACCTCAGCATTGCAGGAATTAAGGACTTGGCTGCTAATCACAAAGTTGGCAGTTTGAACCCCTGGCCACTTCCCAGACAAAGCTGTAGCCGTCTGTGCCTGTTATGACGACAGCCTTGGAAACCCTCTGCAGAGGTTCTCCTCAGCTCTCTAAGGCTGCCATGAGCTGCAGTCATCTCAGGGTTAAGGATTTGATTTCTGCTGGTGATACACATTTGACCCTATTTCATTCATATATACCTTGCACATATTTTTTTTAAAATAATTTTTTTATTTCAAAAATTTGTTATAGCAGTTATCAGCAAGTTGTTTTTTGTTTGGACATATTATTGCTATTGTATGTATATGTTTTGTATTACTTACTGTGGTTTGTTTTAAAGTTTACATAGAAAGTGATCTTTCCATTCATCTCCCAGGTCCTTTGCATTCTGTTTCACGACACTGGCTGCTGTTCTCTGAGTGCAAAAACAGTCCTCCTCCACCTCCTCCTTTTTGCTCCTGTTTCTATTGCCTTTTCAGCTTTGTTTTTGTGTACATGCCACCCATTTGATCTGCTGTTCTGTACCATCAAGTTGGAGCTGACTCATAGCTGACCCTCCGAGAAGTTTTCATGTGATCACCTGCAGGCTTTACTCCTCTGAGGAGTAAGTGCCTTCTAACTGTGGTTATGTATTTTATAGGGCCATTTGTTGTTTGTCTGCAAAGTGCAGGTGGGCTCAGTTCCAGGCTTGCAGGGGGTCCAAGAGCTACCTTGGAGGGTTCTATCAGACCGGACTTTCTGGTCTTTTTGACTGTTTAGAGTTTTCTTATTATATATTTGCCTCCATTCTCTCCAGGATCTTTTATGGTCCCAGTGAGAGCAGTGAGAAGCCAGGCACCGTCTAGCTCTTCCAGTGTCTCAGTAGTGGAAGTTGTGATTCTCATGGTCCATTCATCCTATGCACAGCTTCCCTGAGTCTTTCATTCTCTCCCCTCTTCTTTCCTCTGTCAGGAGAGAGACCAATACTTGCATCTGAGATGGCTGCTTCTCTTAGCAACATCATTTACCTTCATCAGGTTGTATACATTTCACTGTCACTTGATGTTAACTGTGAACTTCTAAAATTTAAAAAACACTCACCAGACACTGGATAGCGCTGGGGCACACTCTGATCTCTTTAGCAGGGAACACTGGAATCAAAGCAATACCTGTGCTTTTCCTGGGTTTGTAGTGACTTGTGCAGCAGCATTACCATAGCGACGGATGGTTTCCGACATATACTTTTGGGAAGAACTATAATCAAGTAAATTCCATTTTCTTCTTTATATTTTGATCTTCTACCTTCACTCCACCCATTACCATAATCCCGCAAACTACTCAGTTACAACGTTCCTTGGCACATATTGATTGAATGAGATGGCTCTGGAGTTCCATGTGTGTGCAACAGTACATCCTGAAATGTTAATAAAAATGATTGGAAATGGTAAAATACTGAGCTCCAAGGAACTTTAGAAACTATAGAAACATTTTTAAGCTGTGTGTGCCTTAGTTCTTATAAATGTTTATTTGAAAACCTAGCACATGAATTGGAAGCTAAGGGTTTTGAGTATCTCTGAGGAGGCTGCCCCTTTTATTTTACAAATGAGTGTTTTTATATTCCAGAAAGGCTGTCATCTGGCTCTCTTTCTGCTGTCACACTTATCCTGCTCTCAGGAGCTCCCAGATCCGGCTTCTGACTGTGCTTTGCTGTCAGACTTGCAGGGAGTGCACTGGTGGTGCCTCTTGTGGCTGTTGAGTGGAATTGATTCTCACCTGCTGGACAGAGGAACCCCCAGAGTGCTGTGTCTTTGTCAGGCTGCTATCCAGAGGGTTGGCAGTTTGAATCCACCAGCAGCTCCTTCATAGGAGAAAAATGGACATTCTCCTTATAAAAATTTATGGCCTTGGAAATCTGATGAGTGGAATCAATTGGACGGGCTTAGTTTTGGTTTGCTTTTCTGACAAAGAGAAAAGAAGCCTTTATTTTTCTACTTTGTATTAAAGCTCTCTCTTTTTTTCTTATGACATTTGTCTCTGATTTTTCTTCCTACTTTGTGAACTTGATTATCTTTGTTACCATTACTAGCTGATGAGGATAAGATTTTTTTAATTTCCCTTCTAGTGGTTGAAGGGAAAAGAGAGGAAGCAGGACCAACATTTATGGGACCCTGCACTCCCTGACCTCATTGGTACCTACCAATGCCTTACACATTCTTAGAGCTATTCTCCAAAGCACTGCGACATTTCCTTTTGGAGTTAGGAAAACAAGGCACAGAGGGGCTAAGAGAATTACTTGACCCTTGGTTGAAAGGTTCAGAGGACAGTGGTAGGGGTGGGGATGGAGGAAGGGCACTTGTGTGAGTGCAGGTGCCTAGGATGTGTGGGGACATGTGGGACATCTGGGATGGGTAGAGTCAAAGGTCTGTGTTTGACACAATTGCAATCACTCTGGAGAGAGAATTGTTCACATACTGTCTGCTCTTAGTTCATCCTGAGAGTCAGACTGAAGGGTAGGTACTGGCATTGTGTTAATCCACACCACTCACCCTCTCACTCTCATTGCCATAGAGTCAGACTCATAGCGGGTTTTCTGAGATGTTACATTGCACGGGATGAGACTGCTCACATTTCCCTGTGGAGCAGCCGGTGGATTTGAGCTGTGTGCCTTTGGGTTGACAGTTACCCATCAGGCCATCAATATGATAGTGCATTTTATAAAATAGTACTTTTTTCCTCTTTGTCTTGGATATTGGATGGTTTACCAATGTTAGTAAACCAGTATCAGTTTGGATTTTTATGCCCACTACTGTCGAGCCCAGTTGTAACTCCTGTCAACTGTAAAACAAGAAAATAGGTCCGTCCATCCAGTCGAGTAACATTTAGGGAAGCAGATCATCAGTTGTTCTCCCAATAGGAACTGTGGGTTTGAACTTCCTAGGCCATTTGAGCTTCTTCTGAATTTTAATGGTAGGTGGTAAAAGGCTGGGCTTACTGATATTTTCTAAGATATGTGAGGAGATTCTTTGAGGAAGTCGTTGAGCTCACAGGCCTGTACATGGGGCCTACATACATCCCAAGAATCAGACCATTCTTCTGTTTAGTAGATCCTGAAGGTGCTGGTGTAGTTTAATTTGGTGGTGTTTGGAGGCAGGAGTGGCATCCACTTCCTAAACAACATACTTCTGGAAACTCTGTGAACTTTGATAAATGTCAGTAGTTGTAGAGGGGCTTCAGGCCTTTTGTTCATAGGGTTGCTGTGAGTCGTGCTCGACTTAAGGCTATCAACAACGACAGTCCATTAAATGACAGTGATTGAAGGATAGCAAGAAATTTAAACTATATTCACAAATAAACTATAGTATAGTTTATTTATATTTATAGTTTTAGAATTCATCTAAAAATAAATGCTAAATTAAGTAAAGACAATGGCAAGTGTATATAAGGAACCCTAGTGTCTCAGGTATGTCCAAGATTGTGAGGGTGGCATAAGACATGGTTCAGATCTGCTGTTCATAGAGCTACTGCAATATATTGTTTTCTAAGGAGTTTTCAAGGTTATCATACCTAGAATTGCTGTAATTTCTCTTTCAAAGCACATTCAGATTCCACTTAGTACATGATGTACTCAGGGCCTCAGTTCCTCTCCCCTTCTACCTTCTATCTGTTCTTCAGGGACTTCTGTGCTAAGAGTTCAGTTTGGTTATCTTTCTCAGAGGAGCTCTGGTAGCATAATGCTTTATAATTAACCAAAAGGTTAGTGGTTTGAATCACCAGCCCCTCATTGAGAGAAAGATGGCCAGTCTCTTGTTAAGATTTACTGCCTCAGAAAACCCATGAGGGTCATCAAGATTCCGACTGACTCACTGGCAGTGAATTTCCATCGTGTTCTGCCAAAGTTTACATCTAAGTCACGTAATGGTCTTATTTCACAGAACATATCATTAAGCAGCATGTATGGATACATGTACGGATTCAGTGGCTGATTACTTTTGTTAGGTCAGTCACCAGGTCTTTTCATCAGCTGGCTCTAAGTGGACTCCAGCTGCCAGACCTTGGATGGTGCTGAAAATTGACATCCCACAACATGTGCTGGGCTTTCCAATCATGCTTAGGAAAGTCATGGGTAGAATTCCTTAATCTAGTCGTCTGTTCCATGAGAAAGTGTCACTAAGGGACTTTTTAATTATTGGAACTGTGTTTTCTAATTAGTACTATTTTTGTCTTCCCTTCCTTAGGGCGCCAATGCCTCGGCATTAGAGAAAGAGATTGGTCCAGAGCAGTTTCCAGTCAATGAGCACTATTTTGGATTAGTCAACGTAAGTACTCATTGTTTAGTACCTTCAGAATTGTGAGGGGAAATGACCTGAAAACAGAAGAGTGCATTCATAATTTATTAAAGAAAGAATATTTATGAGTCTTAGTAAAATTTAATACTAAGAGCTTGACTTGAGATTTTGGAATTGTCATTGACAAAAGAAAGACAAAACTGACCCACATCTTAAGACTGTTGGAGCACCTTCTGCCTGGTCATCCTGATTTTTCTTATTTTCTGTCAGAAATTTCTCCTAAGCACAATTTCTTATTGTCTAGACCAGATGAGCACTGGTAGCCTAGTGGATAAGGAATTTTACTCTCAGACCCAGAGGCAGGTAGTTCAAATCTACTAGCTGCTTTTCTGGAGAAAGATGGACAGTTTCCTCCTGTGAGATAGTAGAAAATAAAAAACAAACAAACAAACAAACAAACAAAAACCCACAAAAAAACCCCAGCCAACCAACCAAATAAAAACCCTGCTATAGGAAACCTACTGAAGGGTTAGCTATAAGCTGAACTCCATTTCTTGTGACAAGACAACGAGAGGATCTTTTCATTCAGGGAGAATTCTTTAAATGCCTGCATTATAAATGGCCCCCGTGCCTGCCTGCTGATAGATCCTCATCAGTGCCTTCAAGTTGTAGAGTAGTCGTCATTGTCTACTGTACCAGTACCAGCCTGGCCAATGAGGAAGGAGTCCTGATGGCCAGTGGGTTAAATGTTGGACTACTGTGCACATAGTCAGCAGTTCAAGCCAAAGGGAAAAAGATGAGTCTTTTCCTCTCATTAAGACTTTGTTGTGGAAACCGATGGAGAATTGCCATGAGTCAGAACCACCTGATGGTAGTGGTTTTTGTATTGTGTGAGCAGCAGTGGAAAAGCAAAACAAGAAGAGATACATGGCCAGATTCTTGTGGAAGAGTACTTCATTCTACTAATTACACGTTATAAAAACTTTGGGCATTTTATCTCATATTTTCAGTGTTCTTTATAATTTTTCAGTCATCGAAAAGAAGAAAAATTTGCATGATTGTTGTGGTAGTTAATTTGGTTGTAGTTTGTTATACTCTGTGAGAAGGATGGGTGATGAGCATTTTAGAATGAGTGTGTGTATCTGTGTGTTTTCGAGAATGATAATACAGGTAACATTGGAAATTGTAAAGACAGTCTAGCTACTATGGAGTAGCAGTGTCAGACCTCTGACTCCACACGGGGAAGAGTCCCCTCCCACCCAAAGCATCCACAGTACAAAACCAGTTTCCATGAGGTCACGCATGGCCCCACTTTCCATGTAATTGTCTGCCAGTTCTAACATCAGCTGTCCCTTCAGGGCTCTCACTATTCTGCTGATCTTTTGCAGTGGCCACACAGACCTCACCAAATCATACTTACGGTTTAGTAGAGAAAGTGAAAGGTTACTGTTCAGGTTATAAACAAGATAGAATTCCTCAGTCAGGACAGCTGCTCAGGCATGCTCTCATCCCCTCTGACCTTCAACCTTGCGGCTCTGGGCCACTGTCATGCAGCTTATTTAGTCTTGCCAATTATGATGTCTCCACCAGTCCTTCAGTAAGCCTGAATGAAGGCCCTTGGCGCTGTTTATGTGAAATAGCATTTACAGGTCAGCTCTGTCTCACATCACTCACAGGTTCTCCACCACTTTTGTTTCTGCTTCATGGGTCTTGGTCTGTGTAACTCGGGAATATCTGACTCAAGGGACATATTGCACTCTCTGCATGCTTTTTCTGTTTTCTCTGTCTGAACCTGCTCACTTCACCTCTGGTGGGATGAAAAACCTGACATATCCCCTCAGTGTTTTTCCTAAGTGCCATTGAGTCAACTATGATTCCTAGTGACCCTGTGAAGCTTTCTTCATCCTTTGCCATCCTCATCATATCTGATATTCTTGAGCTTATTGTTACAGCCACTGTATCAGTCCTTCTTGATAAGGATTTCCTCTCCTTTTTTGAACTCTCTACCTTTCATAGCATGATGTCCTTTTTCAAGAACTAGCTCATTCTAACAACCTGCTCAAAGTGTGTGAGACAAAGTGTCATTATCCTTGCCTGTAATACAGGGGCATTCCAGTTGTACTTTTTTGGGCATTGGTTCTTCTCCTGTTACTTTTAGGCATTATTAAATTTTCAGATGCATAGTAAGTAATTGAAAAGAACATGTCTGGGTTCAGATACACTTTGGTCTTTAATTGACGTCATTGCTCTTCAGCAGTCTGGAGAGATCCTTGACAGCAGGTTTTCCCAGTGCAGCATTTCTTGTAAGTTCTTTGCTAGTACCAAGGGTGTTGATTGTAAATCCAAGTAAGATGACATGGTTGAGAATTTCAAGCTTTTTTTAAAAAAAAATTATTTTATTATTTTTTTTATTTCAAGCTTTTCTCCATCTATTATCATGTTTCCTATTAGCCCAGTGATGAAGAGTTTTATCTTGATGCTGTGAAGTAATTGTACCAATTGACGGCTGACCTTCAAGTGCTTTAAGTCCCCCTCATTTTCAACAAGCAAGGTTGTGTCATCTGCATGACACAGGTTATTGATGTCTTCCTCCGATCCTGGTGGCACATATTTCTTTATAATGTCCAGCTTCCTGTATGATTTGCTCAGCATTCAGATTGAATAGGTATGTAGAAAGGATACATCCATGACTTTTCCTTGATTTTGAACCATGCAGTGTTTCTTTGTTCTATTTGGACAACAGCTTCTTGGTCTAGGGGTGAATTTTGCTTGAGCACAGTTAAGTGTACTGGAGTTCCCATTCTTGTCAAAGTTAGTTGTAATTTGTTGTTTCACATAGTCAAAAGTCTTTGTCTATTCTATAAAATTCAGACATCCTTTTAGAAGTCTCTTCTTTTAGCCAAGATCCACCTAATGTGCTGATACCATAGCCCTTTTGAAGTTCAGTTTGAATTTCTGCCAGTTCTCTGTTGATGGCCTGTTTTAGCCATTTTTTAATAATCTTCAGTAGGATTTTACTTGTATGTGATTTTAATAATATTGTTCAATAATTTCCAAATTCTGTTGGATCACCTTTCTTGGAAATGTAAGCAAATTCGGCTTTCCTCCAGTTAATTGGCCAGGTAGCTACCTTCAAATTTCCTGGCACAGGCTGGTGAGCATGTCCAGGGCTGCTGTTTCTTGAAATACTGCCAGTTGGTATGCTATTAATTCCTGGGGCCTTATTTTTTGTCAATGCCCTCAGTGCTCTTAAACATCTTTCTTCATCACCATTGGTTCTTGATCATATGCTGTTTCCTGAAATGGCTTTGTTTCAACCATTTCTTTTGGTACAGTGATTCAGTGGATTCCTTTCATCTCTTTTTAATGCTTCTTTGGTCATTCAAGATTTTGCCCATAGCATCTTTCAGTATTGTAACTCGAGGCTTGAATTTGCTCTTCAGTTCTCTGAGCTTAATAAATGCTGAGTGAGTTTTTTCCTTTTTTCTGACTGACTCCAATTCTTTGCACATTTTTTATAATTGTCTTTTTGAGCTATCATTAGAAGTGTCCTGTTCGACTTTTTACTTCACTGGTTCTTCCTTCTGTTTTGACTTCTTGACCATCTAGTGCATTTTTCAGTCTCTTCTTACATTTTGGTCTGTATATCTTTTATATAATAAGATTGACACAGGATAGAGCAGGGTTTAGGGCTATTGTACATAGTGTCGCTATGAGGTGCAGGTGACTTGATGGCAAATAACAACATATCTTATATGTTCCTACACAAGAGGTTTCCTTTTTTTTATTTGATTAGCGGATGTGATTTTATAAAGCAGTTGGAATCCCAAAGGTAGATTTCTTTTATTTGATTAACAGTCGGTTGGGGGCCTGGAGCCTCTTATTCACAGCATTTAGGACCCACTAGGTGAGCATTTTGTGATTAATGGTCATTTGGGGGTTGGGAGCCTCTTACTTAAAGCAGTTAGGATTCAGAGGTAGGTCTTTTTGATTTTGGAACTGCCAGAAATTCAGATAGAATTTAGAGAAGGCCATGACACCAAGGATATCATTGCTGATGTCTGGTGGATCTTGGCTGAAAGTAAAGAATGCCAGAAGATTTTTATGCTTTATTGACTATGCAAACACATTTGATTGTGTGGATCATAACAAGTTACGGTTAACATTTAGAATAATGGGAATCCCAGAACACTTAATTGTCCTAATGTGAGACCTGTACCTAGACTAGAGGCTGTTGCATGAACAGAGCAAGGGAGTGGTTTAAAGAGCATGGTTTAAAAATAAGGGAGTGTGTCAGGGTTGTATTCTCTCACCATACCTATTCAATCTGTATGCTGAGCAAATTATTTGAGTAGTTGGAGTCTGTGAAGCAGAATGTGGCATCAAGATTAGAGGAAGACTCATAAATAACCGGCATTATGCAGATAACACAGTCTTGCTTACTAAAAGTAAGGAAGACTTGAAGCACTTGTTGTAGACGATCAAAGAATATAGCCTTCAATCTGGATTGCATCTCAGTGTCAAGAAAACATAAATTCTTACCGCTGGACCAACAGGCAACATCATGGTAGATGGAGAAGAGATTGAAACTGTCAACAACTTCATTTTCCTTGGGTCTGCAATCAACACCCTTGGTACCATCAGTCAAGAAATCAGAAGATGTATTACACTAGATGTATTGCACTTCTGCAGTCAAGGACCTCTCTGAATTATTGAAGAGCAATGATAGCAGTTTGAGGAGTAATGTGCATTTGAATCAGGCCATTGTCTTTCCAGTCACTTGCTGTGTATCTAAGAGCTGGGCATTGAATAAGGATGAAAAGAAGAATTGATGCCTTTGAGCTATGATGTTGGAGAAGAGTACTGAGCATTCATGGACAGATAAAAGAACAAAAATATGTCTTGGAGAAAATGTAGCAAGGGTGCTCCTTGGAGGCAAACATGCTGAAGCTTTGCCTTCCATACTTAAGACATATTGCTAACTGAGGCTCTTCCTTGAAGGTGGACATCATGCTTGGAAGGGCAGAGCA